GATAGAATTTGTTGAAAATTTGTGATTTTTTTTTTTAATCCATGATCGATTTTTTTGAAAATTTGTTATTTTTTTTTTAATCCATATTATTCAAAGAGAAAATGAGAGAGATGATGATTCAGAGGCAACCCTATCCCAGCCATATTATTCATATATCGAGTCCCAACAGCAACAATGTAGGGATGAGCACGACAGTGCAGGTGAGCATGAAGAATGGACAATCTTCGGGGATTTTAGATTGGGAACACAACAAAACACTAACATTTAGGGATTTGAGAATAGTCAGACGCCTGCTAATATCGATGATTCGTTTTTAGATCGAATCAATGAATTGTTGAACGAATTCAATCAATGGCACCAGCGTGACCAAGAAGAACAATAACGTCGTCTATCATTTTATTTTTAGATCATATGTTACTAATTTTATGCTTTATTGTAGTCCATGTATGTTGACATACTTATTCCATGATAATTATATGTTTATCCTTTTGTGTGATATAAATTAAATGCTGAATGGCGGTTCATGCAGGGAAAGAACATATCAATATTCGCATATTTATTTAAAAACATGAAAATTCTTAATGGAGTACCCTCATTTCTTATTGAATTCCTAAAAAACAATATTTATAATGAATTTTAATAATTTTTTCGAATTTTTTTTAAGCTTTATTATGACCGATTCACCGGATTTTCGATCCGAATCGCCGATTTATCGATCCAGATCGGTTTTTTGGAAACCCTATCCGGGACACCGATCCGTTTTTTAAACCAATGGGTCTTACAAATAAGTGTTGATCTATACCATTTTTTTGAGTTTTGGATTTCATCGAGTGTTAGGAAATTGGATTTGGAGCCATAATGGATACTTCTATTCTATTGCCCAAAGTGCTTTCGAGACGAGGATTTGAGGTGAGGCTTCATTTTTTGTTTTCATAAAGCCTTGGCCCGGTAGAAGCTTCATCCTTTGTAAAAAAATCCTATTATAAATGGAATATTTCTAAGAATCATCGTTCGGAGACTGGTTCTTCGTTAGCTTTCTCTTGGTTCAATTGAAGGTTGAAAAGATGAAGACACTAATCTTAGTCCAAGCATCAGCACCACCAATTTCAATAGCAAAAACCCAACAATCTTCAACACCACCAGTTTCCACTGTGAAATCAACCAAAGATGAACACTTTGCCTATCTTTCTCCATTGGAAACCTGCAATTCCATGCTCAAGCTCAGGCAAATTCATTCCCAAATAATTCGAACTGGACTTGCTCGTGATAATGATGCGATAGGCCGTGTAGTCAAATTTTGTGCTATTTCAAATGCCGGAAATCTCGACTATGCACTCCAAGTATTCGACCAAATTCCCCAACCAGATGCTTTTATATGGAATACAATCATTCGGGGCCAATTAGAGGCTGACAGAGCTGAGAATTGTCTCTCTCTGTATACTCAAATGCTTTCCCAATCGGTTGTTCCCAATAAGTACACATTTCCGTCAATTGTGAAGGCTTGTTCTTGTATTAAAGAAGGGAAACAAGTCCATGCCCATGTTTTCAAACATGGATTCGATTCGGATTTGTTCTCTCAAAACAATTTAATTAATATGTATTTCGGTTATGGTGATATAGACGGGGTACGCAGAGTTTTTGATCAAATGACTTGGAGAGATGTTGTTTCTTGGACCACTTTGATAAGTGGGTATGCAAATGCTGGCCTTATTGAGGAGGCTCGCCGTTTCTTTGACGAGATGCCTGAGAGAAATTCGGTTTCTTGGAATGCCATGATTGCAGCTTATGTACGAAGTTGTATGTTCCAAGAAGCCTTTGCGCTCTTTGAACGAATGCAACAGGAGAAATTGGAATTGGATAAATTTGCAGCAGCCAGTATGTTATCTGCTTGCACTGGATTGGGAGCTCTAGAGCAAGGGAAGTGGATTCATGGGCACATAGAAAAGACTGGTATTGAATTGGACATGAAATTGGCGACAACTATTATTGACATGTACTGTAAATGTGGGTGCTTGGAAAAAGCTGTCGAAGTGTTTAATGGCTTGCCCCAAAAGGGGATTTCTTCTTGGAATTGTATGATTGTGGGTTTAGCTATGCACGGGCAAGCCACAGAAGCCATTGAGCTCTTTAGAGAAATGGAAAGAGAAAATGTGACCCCAGATGATATCACTTTTGTTGGTGTCCTAAATGCTTGTGCACATTCAGGTTTAGTGAAAGAAGGGTACCATTATTTTGAGTCTATGACTAGGGTTTATGGTATTAAACCCAAAATTGAACATTATGGGTGCATGGTGGATTTGCTTGGAAGAGCTGGCTTGTTAGTGGAGGCAAAAAAGCTCATAGATGAGATGCCTATGAAGCCTGATGCTGTCGTTCTTGGAGCTCTTTTCGGGGCTTGCAAGATTCATGGTAATATAGAAATAGGTGAACAAGTAGGGAAACAAGTCATTGAGCTCGAGCCTCACAATAGCGGGCGCTATGTACTCTTGGCTAACTTGTACGCAACTTTTGGTCGATGGGAAGATGTTGCAAATGTGAGGAAGCTCATGAATGATAGGGGGGTTAATAAGCCACCAGGGTGTTCTATGATAGAAATGGATGGTGTGGTTAGTGAATTCATAGCAGGAGGAAGATCGCATCCTCAATCAAAAGAGATATATTCGATGGCGGAGGAAATGTTAAGGCGTCTAAAGTTGGAAGGCTATGTGCCTCACAAAGAAGGGGTTTTACATGATATTGAAGAAGAGGAGAAAGAGAGCCCATTATACTATCACAGTGAGAAGCTTGCGATTGCCTTTGGTTTGTTGAACACGAGTACTGGGGAGACCATCCGAATTGTGAAGAACCTTCGTGTCTGTCGTGATTGTCACAATGCGATGAAACTTATATCGAAGGTGTACGGACGTGAGATAGTTGTGAGAGATCGAAACCGATTCCATCACTTCAGTAGAGGAGAGTGTTCTTGCAAAGATTATTGGTAAGTACTTCTGAATAAAGACCTAGGAGAGATCACAATACACCATGGATGGGAGATTAGTGAACTGTTTGGTGAGATAGATAAGGCGGGTGGTGTTTCACGAAAAATATAAGAATATGTTTTACCAAGATACCACAAATTTGTAATATTTTCCCAAAAGCAGGGCTGATTGTACACTATACTACATGTAGTATATAGTTTTTATACTACACGTGGTATCTACCATCCACCTTGTTATAACTGGTATTGACAAATCACTACACCACTTGACTTGACATGGCAGAGGCATGGGTTATCTCCAGCGTTTGACCTCGAGGGTCACAGTTTGTGGGGTCTTACGTGAAGTATGTAAACAAAATATTACATGTAATATGCTATAATTTTCCTTCTGCAAGTGAAACATCTTGAATTCAAGGCCTACTCCAAGCATTTCATGAAGCCGAAAGGCTGTGCTCTCTCTATCTCTAGCATCCTACTTTTAGAACTCTAGAGTGTTCCAGTAATTGCCTAAATTATTAGGGGTGGTTAGTGGGTCGGGTTGGCCCGACTTGGGTCCTGGTCTGGATCCTATTTTTGGACGTGATGGTCGGGTCTGGGTCTAGGTTGACCAACCCAAATATTTTAGATGTACTATTTTCTTTATTATAATAAATATTGGTTATTATATAATCTACTATTATTTTATTATATTTTTAATGTACTATATAACATAATGTTTAACATAATGTAATCTTATATTATAGCTAAACCCTTAAAGGGATCATCAAGGAGAAGGTTTCGCTGCCTTCCCTTCGACTATAATTTTTCATTGTTGAGAGTTAGAGGTATAAAAGAGAGAGAGAGAGAGAGAGAGAGAGAGAGAGAGAGTTGTAAATAATACTAATTATGTAGTATAAAATATTTTAACATATTTTTTTTTATTGACCCGGATCTAACCTGCCCTAATGGGTTGGGGACCTAACTTGGACCCGAACCGGGTCTAGGACTAACTTAGACCTAATCGGGTCGGGTCCCACCCCTAAAACTTATGCTTAGCATTCAATTTTAGAAAGAAAAGGAGTGTTAGTTTCAAAGGGGCGTGCTTGACCATTTGTTGGGTACCCTACCCTCTACATTAGTGAGTTGAAGTCTAGAGTGATCCTTTCAGACTTTTACTCCTGTGGTGATAAAAGCAAAAAGTCAGTGGAGAAAGCGGCATCGTGGAAATGAATTATTGACAAGTCATAAATACATATCGTGTGGACCATTTTCATAGTGTGGAATTTGCCTAAGTAAACAATCCTTCATTATCCTGATGATGAGAGAGAGCTGCAAAATAAGCCCCTAAAATGGCAGAAGGAAGCAGGCAAGAGAAGGATAGTGATGAGAGAACCTTATGGACATGGGTGCAGAAGAATCCCCTAAATCTATCAACAAGAAGAACTTGGGAGCATGCTACAGATGTGATCATAGATGTAAATATTGACTCTCAATCCACAAACTCAAATGATCCTGCCACAATATCAGGTGCAACTCTGGAGAAAACACCTTGCATCGTTCCGCTTGAAAGGCCACGCATTCATCGGTTGCCAGATGAGATTCGAAACTCCAACCGTAAAGCCTACACTCCTTCAAGTCTAAGGTTGGGTCCCCTTCATAGAGAGAAATGCATCCCTGAAGAGGGACAAAAGCTCGCTGCATTGGATTGTGTCCTAAGAAGAACTGGCAAGTCGAAAGAATACTATATGGAAGCGCTTGGGGAGCATTACGACCAAATAGTGGCCTCTTATGAAGGTCTAGACCCATGTATGTCAGGTGGACAACTTTTAGAAAGGATGGTTATTGATGGCTTCTTTGTCTTAGAAATGATGAGAGTGGAGTTTGTGGGGGGTTTCGAGAAGTTGGATTATCCATCGGATCACCCAGTTTTTGGGGCTATAGTGCAGGCTTTCCACTGGCCTCATGCAAAGAGGGACATGCTATTGCTCGAGAACCAGATACCCTTTATAGCTCTTGAAGCACTCAAGGCAGCAGAGAGTAGAGAAGAACCCAGCTTGTGTGTGCTTGTGTTTTGGTTTCTCGAGTCCATACATGATGGCAGCAGTGAGCCCGATATGTATGAAGGTGCCTTCCACCTCTTGGATGCTCTTCACCGAAAGCTAACCGGCAGTCCTGGCCATCCCCACCATACTCGAGTCACTCTTATAGATTTGGTATGTTCTGCCATCCAAGGGGGTCTAAGGATCATCAATAATAAAATCCTTGGTTCAAAGGATTTCGAAATAAGGATCGACAATTTTTGGAGGAAGTCTAACATCCTAAGCAATGATCGAAAAATGGCCAAACCAGCAAAGAAAGAGGTATCACTAGTGAGCTCTAGAGCCGGCAGGATGACTAGGGTGGGGGAGCTAAAGATAAAAGGAATCAAAGTAATAGGAAGTGATACATGTAGCTTGATGGCTATGGATTTTTGCCAGGGAATTCACCTTGGTGCAACCCTCACTCTTCCTCTCTTAGTAGTGAGTGATATCATGGAGGTTTTGCTCCACAACCTAGTGCTACATGAGTTGCTCCACCCAAGCCTTGAGTATAAGGTCATCTCCTATGTGAGATTCATGAGGGACTTGGTGAGAACCACAGAAGATGTCCAACTTCTATGCTCTAAGAAGGTATTGGTGAATGAGCTAGAGGGAGAAATAGAAGTTGTGCTCTTCTTCAAGGGCTTGTGTCATTTTGCAGTTAAGGCCACATCAGAGGACACACATGAGGTCCACATGCTAAGGAGATCTATCAACAATTACTCACAACCCATGTGGACTAAGTGGGGAATGTGGGTTAACACCTACTTCAGTGCCTTCTTTGTTCTCACTCTAATCCAGACCATATATGCAATCCTTGCATACCATAGCAAATCCTCTTTATAACATGATATTTGCTCCCCTTTTTTTTTTATCTTTTATTTGTGATCTTTAGACGATATAAGTTTAGTGAATGTATCGACTGAAGCCATAAAAAGATGTATGCTTCTTTGACCTTTGAATGAAGTGAGAAAATTAAATTAAGGCTCCAAATTGATAGGATATGGGTGATATACTAAGCCATCTATGTGTATGCTAGCAAGATTATGTTTCTTAAGGTATTGGCATGTGCAAGGCTTGTTTTGTTTGTGAGTGCATCAGCTTCTTTTTTTTTTCCTCATGTTGACGACCTTCAAATGAAAGGGTTTAATCAAGACTCATTCAAGAACCAAAATTAAAAGAACAGGGAAGAGGGATACCAAAAAAGGGAAAAAAAAGAAAGGAAAATATCACTCAAGGGTTAAAGCACCATAAAAAATAATTATGGTAGTCAAATCATCCCATTGAACATCAAATGGAGCTTTATTAATCAGTTGCCTCTAGGAAATTTCAAAATGCGCAAATTGCCTATTCGAGATCGGAGACCTTGAATAAACCGCACCCTTGAAGTAATTTGGCCCAACTTAAGAGAACTAATCAAAATGATGGTTCTACCCCTTATTGTTCGTAAATTGAATTCAGAACTTTGCGTTTCATTGAGGATCCTCTCCAAGTTCCTATGTTGAACAAGGAAGGGTATTATAATCATTTTATAACTCTGATGGTTTAGGGTTTGACTCACGAACCCAAAATTTCTCAATAGAAACCCTTGTTCTGATTTTCCAGCCCCAAATATAAAAGGGTAGCATGGTCATGTCACTCGATTTAAGTAGCCCAAGCAAATACTTTGTTCTTCCTTCCTAAGCCGAAGAAATCATTTAATGTCTCATATCAAGAGATTTGAATTGTGCAATAAGATGAAGTATTGAAATGGATTCCACAAGTTTGAACAATCATTTTACAAAAATAAATATTCTTTATGTCTAATATTTTTTCACTTTCGAGAACATTTAATTGTTTTCAAATTAGGATCCATTTTCTTCCTATTTTTTAAAAATTCATGGAATGGTTTTCTCAAATTTGGTGGAGATTTCTCTTTTTCCTGCTATAATATTGGAATATCTCTTTTTCCTTTTCATTACTAGTTTCTCGGGAATGTATTTCTAAAATGAAAGGAATGTGTATCATTACACTTATAATATTGTGTACATTTACATATGACTATAGCAGCCTTGTACACATTCATCCCAAGAGGACACAAATGGCAAGCATAAAGATGAGGTGATAAAAACAACAACTTGTTAAGTAGCTATCCACATTCTAGACAAAAAAAGAAGAAGAATTTGTTTCTCATTTTTTTTATTTGTGACATGGGTTCAAACACAGAACCATAGCCTCAACAAACCCCTCCCAACAAAGTTTCGGGCTTCAAACCAGCCAAAAACCCATGCTATGAAGAAGGTTTGAGGTGATAAGCAAGGATTGCATATATTGTTTGAACCAAGGTGAGGAGAAAGAATACACTAAAGTAGGTGTGGACCAAGTTTCTCCACTTAGTCCACACAGGTTGTGAGTAGTTGTTAATGGATCTCCTTAGCATGAGCACATCATGTGTGTCCCCTGATATGGATGTTATAGCAAAGTGGCACAAGCCATTGAAGAAGCTCACAACATGTGCTTCTCCCTCGAGCTCGTTCACCAAGACCTTAGAAGAGCACAAAACCCTAACATCTTCTTCGGATCTAACCAAATCCCTCATGAATTTCACATAGGAAATGATAGCACATTCGAGTTGTGTGTGAAGTAACTCGTACAACACTAAGTTAAGTAACAAAATCTCCATGATATCATTCACCAGTAAGATTGGAAGTGTGAGGATTGCACCTTGGTGCATGCTCTTATGAAACTCCATCCCTTTCAAGCTACCTGTGTCCTTTCCCTCAATCTTGATCCCTATCTCCCTTAGATCCCAAACCCTAGAAACCCTGCCTTGTCTTGGGCTTGCAAGGGGTATCGCCTGCTTAGCTCGCCTGTCCTGTCGAGATTTCGTGTTAAACATCTTCCTGAAACTGTCAGCTGTTGTCTTCGAATCCTTTGCTCCAAGGATTTTCTCACGCATGAGCCCTTGGCCCCTTTGAATGGTAGTCCATATAGAATCGATGAAAGTGCCCTGAGATTGATAGCTTCCTCTCGGCCTAACCGTCAAATGCCGGTGTAGAGCATCCAAGAGGTGGAGTGTGCCTTTGTACATGTCTGGCTCACCTCGACCCAAGTATATAGACTCGAGAAACCAAAAGATCAATACATTCAAGTCAGGTTCATCTCTATGCTCGGCCTCTTTGAGCACCTCAAGAACCATGAAGGGTATCTGGTTCTCGAGCAATAGCATGTCCCGCTTCACATGGGGGAGATGGCTAGCTTGCACGCTAGCCCCAAATATCAGATGGTCTGATGCATAGCCCAGTTTCGTAAAACCACCTATCATCTCTCCCCTCATCATTTCTAAGACGAAGAAACCATCAACCACCATCTTGTCTATAAGTTGCTCGCCCGACATAATCGGGTCTAGACCCTCGTAGAAGGCCACCACTTTGTTGTAGTGTCCCCCGACCACGTCTGTGTAGTATTTTCTTGACTGCCCACTTCTACTGAGGACGCGCTCCAATGCTGCTATCTTCAACCTCTCTCCCCTGATGTCTTGCTCTGTGTGGAGGGGACCCAGTTTGAGAACAGAAGGGGTGTAGGCTTTGCAATTCAATTTTTTTATCTGAACAGGCACGCGGTAGATCCATGGCCTTGTTTTTGTTGCCATGTGAGGACTTCCTTCAGTAGTCACACTTACGACTGAGACTGAAACTGGAGAAGGATCTCCATTACTTCCATTTTTAGTTGAAGTGGGGGTTTCTTCTTCAGTAATGCTCCTTCCTCCCAGCTTTAGAGGCTTAGGCACCCATGCCCATAGAGTTGTGTCATCTTTTACCATTACTGTGCTTCCTTCTGCAATTTCTACAGGCTTCTTTTGCACCCATCGCCACAACACTCTTCCTTCTCCCTCCCCTGCTTCCAAGGCCTTCTTTTGCACCCATGTCCCTTGCATTCTCTCTGTCAGTTGAATGGCTTGCAAAATTAAGCTGCAATTGGGTTTTAAGTTTGTGGTTTGATTTCTGAAGTTCTATGCATAAAATTTGGTGAGCATTTGCCCAACATGCTTAAAGAACTTTGGACAGAAGTTCAACCACTGGATTCATCGTTTTGATTTAAGGGCAAGCTTTCTATGCCTCTCCTAAAACATAAAACTTACATACTTTTCCTTATCCAACCGTCCATTCTGAATGGAGGGCTAAGATTGTCCCAATCACAATGTCAAGTCTGTACACTATTTTATTTTTAATTTTTTTCTATAAACTATTTTGACAACTAATTTTATATGTTCAATCCTCTATTAAACTCACACTAGCGAAAAATGTTAAAAAAAATATTTTCAATAAAATAAAATGATCAAAATACTCCTGAAACATTTAAGAAGTATTTTGGTCATTATATTTTTATCGAAAAATTATTTTTAATATTTTTTATTAGTGCATCCCAATGAGAAGATGACACATACCAAATTTTATATTCATAAAATATGTATAAAAAATCTAAAATAAAATACCTTGAGACGTCAGATCTAAGATCAAACAGTGAGTGGCTCTGTTGATCAAAATTGGACGGCTAGATAGTAAGAGAAGCATAGATCTTCCATGCCGTAGAGGAGGTATAGAAACCTTTCCCTTTATTTAAGAGTCTTGATTAAGAAAACATTGGACTTTTATTGGAGGTAAAAAGGAATGGATAATAAATGTGTGGAATTGTAAAGAGTACTTTGTTAGCGTGTGGAAAATATGAATACATTGGCAAGTGTGGGTCAAGGACTAGCTTTCCCCGAAGTTGCACAAAGAGGATAGGGATGTGTTAAGGGGCCTTTAGGAAACCTTTTAGGAAAGGAAACTTTTCT